ATATATATATATATATATATATATATATATATATGTGTATATATACATGTGTATATATATATATGTGTGTGTATATATATATATGTATATATAGTGTATGAGGATTGTCTAAAAATACCAAAGCAAAAATTTATATTAAAACTAACAGAAAAAAAGCCGGGCGCGGTGGCTCAAGCCTGTAATCCCAGCACTTTGGGAGGCTAAGGCGGGTGGATCACAAGGTCAAGAGATTGAGACCATCCTGGTCAACATGGTGAAACCCCGTCTCTACTAAAAATACAAAAACATTAGCTGGGCATGGTGGTGTGTGGCTGTAATCCCAGCTACTCAGGAGGCTGAGGCAGGAGAATTGCCTGAACCCAGGAGGCGGAGGTTGCGGTGAGATCGCGCCATTGCACTCCAGCCTGGGTAACAAGAGTGAAACTCCGTCTCAAAAAGAAAAGAAAAAAAAAAAACTAACAGAAAAAAAAAAAGGAAGTTTTACCTTTTAAGGGCTCTTTCTGGTCACTGATATCACCTCTCTCACCCTCTGCCATCTCTCACCTCCTGGTCTCTCTTGCTTAACAAGAAAAGACTATGGCACTTGGATCCCAGCTTTCTCCCTGCCTCAGCTGAGGTCGCTACCCTGGTTGATTCCCATCATCCAGTATCATGGGTCTGAGTCCTCATCTGCAGTGTCCTTCAGCTCTCAGCATCCACTCCCATTTTTCATCTGGAACTTTATTATCACCAGCATCTACTCCACCTCCAAACCACTGGTGGAAGCAGCCTCCTCTCTTCCCATGTTACTTGCTCAATGACTCCTACAAGTACTACTTTGAATATTTTGGGGGTCTTTGGTTTTTTAAAATTTTTTATTTCCATGGGTTATTGGGGAATGGGTGATGTTTGGTTACATGAATAACTTCTTTAGTGGTGATTTGTGAGATTTTGGTGCACCCATCACCTGAGCTGTATGGCACCCAATTTTTAGTCTTTTATTCCTTACCCCCTTCCCGCCATTTACCCTGAGTCCCCAAAGTCCATTGTGTCATTCTTTTTTTTTTTTTTTTTTGAGGCGGAGTTTCGCTCTTGTTCCGCAGGCTGGAGTGCAATGGCGCGATCTCGGCTCACCGCAACCTCCGCCTCCTGGGTCCAGGCAATTCTCCTGCCTCAGCCTCCTGAGTAGCTGGGATTACAGGCATGCGCCACCATGCCCAGCTAATTTTTGTATTTTTAGTAGAGACGGGGTTCCACCATGTTGACCAGGATGGTCTCGATCTCTTGACCTCGTGATCCACCCGCCTCGGCCTCCCAAAGTGCTGGGATTACAGGTGTGAGCCACCGCACCGGGCCATTGTGTCATTCTTATGCCTTTGCATCCTCACAGCTTAGCTCCCACTTATGAGTGAGAACATACTCATAAGTATGCTTAGTTTCCCATTCCTGAGTTGCTTCACTTAGAATAATAGCCTCCAGGCTGGGCACAGTGGCTCACACCTGTAACCCTAGCACTTTGGGAGGCCGAGGCGGGTGGATCACGAGGTCAAGAGATCGAGACCATCCTGGTCAACATAGTGAAACCCCGTCTCTACTAAAAATACAAAAAATCAGCTGGGCATGGTGGCGCATGCCTGTAATCCCAGCTACTCAGGAGGCTGAGGCAGGAGAATTGCCTGAACCCAGGAGGCGGAGGTTGCGGTGAGCCGAGATCGCGCCATTGCACTCCAGCCTGGGCAACAAGAGCGAAACTCCGTCTCAAAAAAAAAAAAAAAAAGAAACTGAATTTCAAATTTTATTTAATTTTAATAAATTTAAATAGTCACAAATAGCTACCATATTGGCTAGCACAGACTAACAATGTCTCAAAAAACCAACATTGAGGTTGAATTCTTCAGTACCACAAACATGGCTTTGGTAAGCATTACTGTACCCACATCTTTGTCTTTCATGCCAGCATTTTCGTAGGCTAGATTTTTGTATGTAAAAATGCTGGTTGCTTAGGGTTTGCTTTCACTTTGTGAATGCTACTACACAAAACTGTAAAAAAGCTATAGTCATTTCCACCAACTATATATGAAAGTTCTCATTTCCCCACATTATCAACAATATTGTGTACCATCTACATTTTTTGTTTTTGAAATTTGATAACTGAAAAAGAAGTATGCCATCTGTTTTCGTAATCAATTCGTTACCTCTCACCCTTCCATATATGCTCCCTGCTGTGTGCCCGCGCCTGCGCACTCAGAGCACCGACAACAACTTCCGGAAACCCCCGGGCCGCGCGGTCCCAAGGCACTTGGGTTTCCGGCGTCTTCTGCGTTTCCGGCCCTGGACTACAATTCCCACAGGCCACCGGACCGAATGACCGTGGTTTTCTGAGGCGCTTTGCGTATTCTCGTGGTTCTTGGACTCCGCGTGTGAGCAGGTAGTTTCGGAAGGAGGCATCGAAGCAGGGAAGGAGACATTGAAGCAGGGCGAGGCGAAGAGGACTTTGCGAACTCATGACCCAGTCGGCAGTGCGGGTGACGGTGGGAGAGGCAGTGAGGCGAATGCGAGCAGCTGAAGATGTTGACAGTGTGGCTGGGTGTGAAGAGGGAAAGGGGTGGGCAAAACAGGGTCAGGCGTCTCCCTGGCCGCGTGTGATGCACCGTCCATGGTGATGACAGACATAGTGTACGTGATGTGTGTCAATATTGTGTGTGTAATAGAACCAAGGATGTGCCCTGCCTTTCGGATGGTAATGTGTCTGCATGAGAGTGCGCATGACCGGGCCGGGATGTCTTGTGACACATGGAATGGTGTGTGTGTGTGTGTGTGTACGCATCTGTCCACATGAAATGGCCCTGGTATGTCTTCATGACCGCATGTGTGCTCATGACGAAGCAGGTGTGTTTCTCTGTGACTGTGTGACAGACTGTGTTTATGTGCGAAAGAGAAGAAAGTGCTGGGTGTATGACAGGACTGGGATAACTCTGTGACTGTGACACAGGCGTGTGGATTAGTATGTAGCATGACCGCTGCAGTATGTTTTTATGATGGCATGAATGTGTCCTGTGATATGTGACAGGTCTCAGGTGTATCTCTGTGATTATTTGGTATGAGTGTGTGTGTGTGAGAGACCTTCTGTGAATGTGACAAGTCAGGATATGTCTCTGTGACTGTGTGTGACAGGCATTGTGAATGTTTGTTGGTGGGTAGCTTGTATGGGTTTGACAGTATATGAAAAGTATGTGAAAAGTTAGTACCTGTGCATGTTACAGGGCCAGTTGGGTCTCTGTAACATTATCTAGAAGGCTTGTGAATGTGCATGTTTTGTGTGTGTCTGTGGAAGTGACAGGGCCAAAATGTATTTGCATGACTATGTGACAGTTCTTATGTACATGTGAATCATAGTACATGCAGTCTGACAGATACTATGTGTGAGGGCATCTTTAGGTTAGACAAGTCAGGCTGGCTTTCTGTTTATGTGTGTGTGTGTCTGTAAGAAAGAGAATTCTGTATGTGTGTGTGTGTCTTGAGCATCTGACTAGTCAGTATATGTGTCTGTGGGACTATGCTGACACAGTTGTGTGTGAGTACCTGTGCACATAACAGAGTGTGTCTTTGTGACTGTACGTAACATACTGCATGCATATGAGTGACAGGTCTGGAGTGGATGTTTCTGTGGTATGTGACAATACTATGTGTTTTAGAGAGAGAGAGTGCATATGACAGGACTGGGTGTATGTCTGCGACATTTTGAATGGTTATGAGGCTACAACTGATGTATGATGTGCTTTGTGACTTACTGAATATATATATATTTTAGTATGTCAAGGTCAAATAAAATATAGACTAATGTCTGAAATTAAAACAGTTTAGTTAAGTAGAAAGAATTGCATTGGGGTATACATGCAGACCA